AGAGACTGTCAGTTTAGATAAAAAGAAAAACCCAACTAGATGCTGCCTACAAGCAAAGACGATGGTGAAGTTGTGATCAGTTCAGTTCAGTTCAGTTCAGTCGCTCAGTCGTGTCCAACTCTTTGCAGTCCCATGAATCGCAGCATGCCAGGCCTCCCTGTCCATCACCAACTCCTGGAGTTTACTCAAACTCATGTCCATTGGATCAGTGATGCCATCCAGCCATCTCATNACTCCAGGATTCTTGGGCTTCCCTTGTAGCTCAGTGGGTAAAGAGTCTACCTGCAATGCAGGAGACCAGGGTTTGATCCCTGGGTTGGGAAGATCCCCTGGAGAAGGGAAAGGCTACCCACTCCAGTATTCTGGCCTGGAGAATTCCATGGACAGTATAGTCCATGTGGTCTCAAAGAGTCAGACATGACTGAGCGACTTTCACTTTCACCTGTGGTCACTATGGCCTTGTTTTGGTGTCTGTGTATTTGAAGCTGCAGTCATGTCACTTCTGCCATTCTTTACAGACTTTTTTTTTTTTTTTTTTGTAGCTAAAGATCTTCTCTTTTTGGGTCCTTCGTCTGATGGGACTGTCTCTGGGGTCTTAGTTGAATGGGGATGGAGCCAAGTCATGTGGCTGCAGTTGGGCTAATGACTGGGTTATGATTGGTAGGTCTGGTGCCGGGGTCATGGATGGGTGTGGTTTATGACAGGTCCCTGGGTAAATGAGAGTGTCCCTGGGACTATGGTCAAGCAGGGCTTAAGCTGAGTCATAGGCTGCTTCTTGGTCAGCAGTTGGGTCTTCAGATGACAAGCCTGTTATCAGGGCATGTATGGGTTTATCTCCTGCTGGGTACCTGGGCAGAATTCTACTCAGGTTGGGTAGGGTTAATGAGTGGGCAAGACTGCCTCCAGAACCATGGTACTGCAGGGCTGGAGCTGGGTCAAGGGTAACTTCAGGGTCAGCTATTGGGATTAAGGTTGTTAAGCCCTTTACCATGGACATGAGTGTGGCTCCTCCTTGATCCTTTGCCATAAAGGGTTCATGGTAGGACTACAGCCAAGTGGAGCTTGCACCAAATCTAGCAGGTGCTACCAGGACCGTTTTGTCTATGGATAGTTGCCAAGTCATTGTTTCTGTGGGTGGATGTGGGAGATTGTGGGGGGGGGGTGGCATAGTGATAAAGAACCTGCCTGCCCATGCAGGAGACACAAGAGAAGTGGGTTTTCAATTAAAAAATGGGCCAAAGAACTAAACAGACATTTCTCCAAAGAAGACATACAGATGGCTAACAAACACATGAAAAAATGCTCAACATCACTCATTATCAGAGAAAGGCAAATCAAAACCCCAATGAGGTACCATTTCATGCCAGTCAGAATGGCTGCTATCCAAAAGTCTACAAGCAATAAATGCTGGAGAGGGTGTGGAGAAAAGGGAACCCTCTTACACTGTTGGTGGGAATGCAAACTAGTACAGCCACTATGGAGAACAGTGTGGAGATTCCTTAAAAAGCTGGAAATAGAACTGCCATATGACCCAGCAATCCCACTTCTGGGCATACACACCAAGGAAACCAGATCTGAAAGAGACACGTGCACCCCAATGTTCATCGCAGCACTGTTTATAATAGCCAGGACATGGAAGCAACCTAGATGCCCATCAGCAGATGAATGGATAAGAAAGCTGTGGTACATATACACAATGAAATATTAGTAAGCCATTAAAGAGAATACATTTGAATCAGTCTAATGAGGTGGATGAAACTGGAGCCTATGATACAGAGTGAAGTAAGCCAGAAAGAAAAACACCAATACAGTATACTAACACATATATATGGAATTTAGAAAGATGGTAATGATAACCCTATATGCAAGATAGAAAAAGAGACATAGATGTATAGAACAGACTTTTGGACTCTGTGGGAGAAGGCAAGGGTGGGATGATCTGAGAGAATAGCATTGAAACATGTATATTACCAATTGTGAAACAGATCGCCAGTCCAGGTTGGATGCATGAGACAAGTGCTCAGGGCTGATGCACTGGGAAGACCCAGAGGGATGGGATGGGGAGGGAGGTGGGAGGGGGGTTCAGGATGGGGAACACATGTAAATCCATGGCTGATTCATATCAATGTATGGCAAAAACCAATACAATATTGTAATTAGCCTCCAACTAATATAAATAAATGAAAAAAAAATGCTTGTAACAACTAAAAAAAAAAGTATGAGAATGTGTTTCCTTTTCAAGTGCATATAGAGACTTTCATGAAGATAAACTTATCCTGTGTCATAAAACAGATAAACTTCAATAAAACAGAAATTCTTAGAAAGTTAGAAAAACTCATACAAACTGACATAAAAAAACATAAAATCTTATTGTCCCAAAGCTGTTAAAAACATTGACTTTGGAATTAAAAACTCATTCCTGAGAAAAAAATTCCAGCCACAGAGTTTCCCTAATAACTCTGTTAACCATTTAAGAAAGAAATATGAGTAGTACCCATGTTTCCAGGAAATAGAGGAAAATGCAAAATTTCCAAAATCATTCCATAAGGACAAACTTACCCTTGTATCAAAGAGCAGACAGTACAAGAAATCTACACACCAAAATCTGCAATGAACACAGATCAAAAAGTCTTAGCAAAGTATTAGCAAATGGAATCCCAACAATTAATTAAAAAGGGTTCTGCAAGGTGATGAAGTGGTTTAACCCAAGAATGCAGATTTATTTTTAGCATTCAAAAGAATCAAACCATGTTTTGTCCAAGAAAACTTAAGTGTCTAGGAAGTGAATCCTAAAAAAATCTTTAAAATAATATTATTGAAATATGTGCTTTCAGCAAATCATAGGAAACAAAAGTCCATTATATAAAAATCATGATATAAGACTCACATATATTTCTATGTACTAGCATTAAGAGCTGGAAGCAAAATTTACAATGGCTTTACAAACCTAGAAATGCTTAGGGATATGTTAGCAAATCATATTCAAGTAGTGTACAAGGAAAATTATAAAATATTGCAGAAATAAACTTTAAAAATATTAATAGGTGGAGAAATACATAGAGCTCATAGATCTAGTCATATTAAAATGAACAATTCTCCTCACTGAATTTAAAGATTTGACTCAAAATCTAAGCAGTTATAGTTTTGGAAGGTAAAAAAATGTATAAATTTAAATAGAAATACGAAGGAACTGAAAACACAAAAATTTTAAAAGGGGTTATAAAACAATGTTTAGCATTTAAAATACTTGAATTCAAGGCTTACTTGGAAGCTATAACAATCAAGCAATTTTAGTGTCAGTAGGGCTTCCCAGGTGGCCCAGGGGTAAAGAATCTGCTTGCCAATGCATTCGCTGGATCAAAGAGAAAGCAAGAAATTCCAGAAAAAACTGCTACCTCTGCTTCATTGACTACACTAAAGCCTTAGACTGTGTGGATCACAACAAACTGTGGGAAATTCTTAAAGAGACAGGAATACCAGACCATCTTACCTGTCTCCTGAGAAACCTGTATGAGGGTCAAGGAGCAACAGTTAGAACTTTACATGGAATAACTGGCTGGTTCAAAGCTGGGAAAGGAGTATAACAAGGCTGTATATTGTCACCCTGTTTATTTAACTTATATGCAGAGTACATCAAGTGAAATGTTGGGCTGGATGAAGCACAAGCTGGAATCAAGATTGCCAGGTGAAATATCAACAACCTCACATATGCAGATGATACCACCAAAGAATTGACGCTTTTGAACTGTGTGGTATTGGAGAAGACTCTTGAGAGTCCCTTTGGCTGCAAGGAGATCAAACCAGGCAATCCTAAAGGAAATGAATCCTGAATATTCATTGGAAGGACTGATGCTGAACCTGAAGCTCCAATACTTTGGCCACCTGGTGAGAAGAGCTGACTCATTTGAAAAGACCCTGATGCTGGGAAAGATTGAAGGCAGGAGGAGAAGGGGGTGACAGAGGACAAGATGGCTGGATGGCATCACTGATTCCAAGGACAAGAGTTTGAGCAAGCTCTGGGAGGGAGGTGATGGATAGGGAGGCCTGGTATGCTGCATACAGTCCTTGGGATCTGCATAGAGAAACGGAGTATTTCCTGCCATATCAGTAGAAAAGAAAGTCACAGTTTTCAGTGATTGCAGCCCTGCAATGTGAGCCGGTTAGCCCTAAGGAAACTCAGGAAGGAGAAGAATACCTGCCATCTAGCATCCATCAAACTACAGTCACTCCCTATGGTGAGCCCCAGGAGGTGGAAAAGAGGATACTGGCTGCAGATAGCTGAGGAGCATATCAAAGAATGATTTCAGTGAACCCAGACTCTTGTATCTTCCCGTAGATAGAAAAGCACTAAATTCCTTAAGCTAGGATGTCTAATTTTCTTTAATTACCAATAATCTTTTGATGTTCAGACTACCTGACCTTTGTTGCAAAACTTCTGTATAACCTCTCCTTGATCCTCAGAGCAGTTCTCTCAGGGCTTATAACATGGCTATGTTATTTCATCTCTGCTTCAAAGCAGACCAATTGAAACAGCTGGCCAATGTGATTGGAAGCTCTTATGGTCTCTACAAAATCAAGTGTATCAAGTATAGCCCTGGAAAGTGTGTTAGTCACTCAGTAGTGTCCAACTCTTTGTGACCCCATGGACTGTAAACTGCCAGTCTCCTCTGTCTGTGGAATTCTCCAGGCAAGAATACTGGAGTGAGTTGCCATTCCCTTCTCCAGGGGATCTTGCCAACCCAAGGATCAATCCTGGGTCTTCTGCATTGCAGGCAGATTCTTTATGTCTGAACCACCAAAGAAGCCCATAGCACTGGAGGTAGTAGACAATATAGAAATACATAGAAAAAGGAAGTGAATATACATGTATGTGATTCTTCACCTTATGTAATAAATCCCAATGGGCAAGGTAGTTCCAAATGTTGAAGATTTTCAGTAGCAGCTGAGGTCATCCCTCTGAAGGCCTTTGGAGGTTTTTGAAACAGAATATATCACTGTGGGAGGGATATTCTCATCGTGTTGACAGAAGTAATAAGCAGAATCTTCTGATTTGATGTCATCAATTGTCAGGGTAAAATCTATGTCATATCCGCTGCCACTGAACCGGGATGGAACCCCAGAGATAAGAGTAGAAGCCTGTTTAATAATGAGCTTAGGAGTTTGTCCTGGTTTCTGTTGGTACCAATACAAGTCATCATCCACTTTTTGGCTGGCTTTGCAGGTGATAGTGACTCTGTCTCCTGGAGTCACTGACACCGTTGCTGGAGATTGTGTGAGGGTTATTTCTGCTATAGTCTCTATTTAAGGGAGAAAATAGAAAAGATAATTCAAAAATATCATATTCAGCGAGAATGACAAAAATCAATTTCATATACAAATGCATTTTTGGGGGTCAAGATTCAGAAGAGGGAAATTATTTTTCTTACCAGAGATCCAGAGGAGCAGGAAGATGAGGTGAGCCTGGGAGCCCATGGTCTGTCTTGGCGGGACCTTCACTTGTGGTCAGTGTCTTTACCCATACTTTATATGGCCTCTGAGATGTTGAGGAACTTACATATGGAAGCAATATGCAAATAATATGGTATGTGGGGATGGGACGGGGAGGCAGTGTTTAAATGGCAAAGTGTGAGACTTCATGCATGAGCGTGGTTCATGGTGTTATTGTCATAGCTTTGCTTGCTTTCAAAAGGGCCGTGACTAAAATCTAAACTCCTGGGCAACTATCATCCTCTTTCCTTTGCTTTGCTTTTTTTCAACCAGACTGTTCATTATACTGCAAGATTCAGCGCTCCATCTTTTGCCATTCTGATGCTAAATAAACTGGGGTGATACATTTGTTGTTTAGTCACTAAGTCATGTCCAACTCTTTCATGACCCCATGGACAATAGCCCTCAGGCTCCTCTCCGCTTGGGATTTCCCAGGTGAGAATACTGGAGTGGGTTGCCATTTCCTTCTCCAAAATAAACTGGGTTGATAGATACCATGGCACTATTCTTGACATCACCAACCACTGCCTTTCTTTGGGTTGCATACTCATGAATGTATTCTAATTATTTCAGTCATGGTTGAATACGGGATTCAGAGAGGTATCTGTTTAATGTGTTTCCAACTGCACACATGGTTCTAGGATTGCTCAGCTCTTTCTTACAATATTTACACACACGTTACTTGTCCTAAACTGAATTTCTTACACTGAGATTTTTTTCACATTTAAATTTTTTATTTCCTTTTGACTCAAGTGAATTAATGCCTACTCAATGGTACTGGGTAGTACCTAAAATAATTTCTTTGTATACCATCCATCTACATTTAAGAAAAACTACATGAAGCAATTGAAAGTGGACACCGAGAATTGTAGCTAAATAGTAGGGCAAGGAGATGAAGGGTGAGACAATAAATTGCTACCATCAATTTGAAAGAAGGTAAGATACGTACCTTGCTTTTCCTCGTTTGGATGTATGTTAGATGCTCAGTCATGTCCAACTCTTTGTGACCCCATATACTATAGCCTGCCAGGCTCCTCTGTCCATGGAGGTCTCCAGGCAAGAATACTGGAGTGGGTAGCCATTCCCTTCTCCAGGGGATCTTCCAAATCCAGGGATTGAATCTGGGTCTCCCGCATTGCAGGCAGGTTCTGAGGTTTTAGTATCTGAGCCACCAGTGAAACCCCCGCTTTTTCCTAATCAAATTCTTTTTATCTGATGTTCACTCAAAAACATATGATAATGTTCATGGAAGTGTTATTGATTGACCATAATAGTGGGAAGAGTTTAAATGTCCATTAACTGTTGAATGGAAAAGCAAAATGTCTCATAATCAATGCTATTTGGTTATACAAGGACATACTGTATGGCACAGAGAACTCTGCTAAATATTATGTAACAATCTAAATTGGAAAAGAACTTGAAAATAGATGCATGTATAGTATTAACTGAATCATTTTGTTCTACTCCTAGAACTAACACAACACTTAGTCTACTATACTCCAATATAAAATCAAAAGTTAAAAACAAAAAATATCATTGGCCATAAAAAGGAATGAAGTACTATAATATATTACAACATGGAAAAACTTTGCAAACACTATGGTAATTGAAGTAAGCCAATCACAAAAGAACATATATAGAATGATTTATTTATATGATGTATCCACAACAGGTACAGACATAAAAGTAGATTAGTGGTTAGACTTGGGAATATTCGATGATGGAGGAAATGGGGGGTAACTGGTAATGGGTACAGGATTTCTTTTTGAGAATATTCTAAAATTATCATGGTGATGATGACACAACTCTGTCAGTATACTAAAGTCTATCATATTGTACAGTATAAATTAGTGAATTATATTGTATATGATTTGTAATGCCATAAGTGGGAGTGTGTGAGTACTCAGCTATGTCTGACTCTTTGTGATCCCATGGACTGTAGCCCACCAGGCTCCTCCATCCATGGAATTCTCCAGGCAAGAATACTCTGAAGTAGGCTGACATTTCCTCCTCCAGGGGAACTTCCTGACCCAGAGACTGAACTCACTGTCTTGTGTGATTCCGGCATTGCAGGTGGATTCTTTACCACTTGAGCCATAATGCCATAAAGCTGTTAAGAAAAGTCTAGGATTTCAAGAATAAGAAACCTAGGATGAGGAATAACAGGAATATGTAAGTAATAAAAACCAAAAGAGCTATTTGTAAGTCTGGGGCTTTATGTTTTGAGATGTGTTTTGAACATTTAAAGATGATCCATTTTTTGGAATTATTGAGAAAGAACTTTGTCCTAAAATGGACAGTAAAATTTACATGATGCTCTCCAACTAGGTAGATGACCTTGAAGAACTGCTACCAGCTATATTTGGCTTTATTCATTTCATTCCTATTAAATGGTCCTGCAAATGTGATTTTTCAAAAAATTATCTTGGGATTTTGATTTTGATTAGATTGTTCCACTTTCCTTGAATAATGTTCTGGGGTCTATGGTGTGTTTTGTTATTTTTCCTAAATATTTGATGCTTTGGATGCTCTTGTAGATGGTGTGCTTTGTAATTTTAATTTTTATAATTTGTTGTAGTGGTAGAAAAATTAAATTGCTGTTTTCTAATTATTAACCTCATATCCAATGGTTTGCTATTTCTTTTATTAAATGCAATTGTTTGTTGTTTATTTTGAATTTTCTTTGCATACACTCCATTCACCTTGAATTATGATAGCTTTAATTCTTCCTTTCTAATTCAGTCTTTGTTGTTGTTATTTTTGCCTTATTGCACTGGCCAGAAGAGGTGTATCTTTAAAGGCAGCCATTCATGGGAGTCTGATCTAATGCGATTGGCAATGAAATTGTGCCTAAGTATGGTTGTTTATTTTAGTCTGAGAAAAAATCCAGGACTTGGAGTCCAAATCTTGTCATGGAGTTACTTTTCAGAACTTTAAGTCTTCCAAATAGAGGTTGAGATGCTAAAACTGAGCTGCCATAGTAGCAGCTGCTTATAAAGGAAACAACTGGTGTAAATTGAAAAAGAAACTCTCTAAGGTCAATTGGAAGGACTGATGCTGAAGTTCCAATACTTTGGCCACCTGATGCGAAGAGCTGACTCATTAGAAAAGACCCTGATACTGGGAAAGATTCAAGGCAGGAGGAGAAGGTGATGACAGAGGATGAGATGGTTGGATGGCATCATCAACTCAATGGACACAAGTCTGGGCAAGCTCTGGGAGTTGGTGATGGACAGGGAAGCCTGATGTGTTGCAGTCCATGGGGCCTCTAACAGTCGGACATAACCGAGCAACTGAACTGAATTGAACTGAAGGTCAAGTGGAGGTTTTTGTTTTAGGTTCAATCACTGTGGATACCCATTAACCACAGTGATAGCAGTAATAAACTGCAGCATCATCAGGCCCCAGGCTTCTAATGGTGAGAGTCAAGTCTGTCCCTGACCCACTGAGCTAGGCTGGGATGCCAGAGGCCCTGCTGGAGGCATCATAGATGAGGAACCCGGGGCCCTGCCCAGGCTTCTGCTGGTACCAGGCTAAGTAGCTACTAATACCCTGACTGGAGCTGCAGGTAAGGGTGACTGTTCCCTCTGGAATCAAACCATGGAGGCTGGAGACTGTGTCAATGTGGCTTCCCCAGTGACTTCTGAGATTGGAAATAAAGTGGAAAAAGTCACTTATGTACCTGTTGGGTACATAAGTGTAGATCAAGGTACATCCTTGATCTACACCAAGCTTTAATTATTGTGCTTGCTGAGGAACAGTGCAGGACCCAGGTGTATGAACACAGTTTTCACTGACATACAGAACCATTCCATGCTCTTCTCACCTGGGAGCCAGAGGAACAGGAGGCAGAGAAGCTGAGCTGGGGCTTCCATGGTCCACTTGAAGGCAGATCGGAGGCAGATCTTCCCAGAGCACTGACTAAGGCATAGATATGGCTTTAAGCAGCAGGGTGGGCTGGGAAGAACGTGGAAAGCATCTGGGGTGGGGGAGCTGGGCTTCTAGCTGCAGAAACCACTTGCCTCCTCTTCTGTACACTTGAGCAGCCCATCCCTAGGTGGTCAAGTTAGAAAGCCTGTTGACTTCATCTGAGAGATGAATTTGTCTCCTCTGGTCAGAGAACTTTTTTCCTGTCTCCTCCTGATTAAGTACTTATCTAGATTCAGAGAGATGGTGTTTGATATAAGCCAGTTGGAAACAAAACAAATGCCTGTGGTCCTATTTTCCACTTTAAGGCAGCAGTGTGCCTAGATATCTCCCTTGATGCATGACTGCCTCAGAATGGATTGAGGAGTTTATCAGAATTTTATCTTCCAGATAAAACATTCATTTGCTGTTTTTCCGAAGAAGTCATGTTATAGTTTTTATTTTTATTTTTCGATCATGCTGGATGACATGTCAGATTTGAGGTCCCTAACAAGGGTTCAAACCTGTGCCTCCTGCAGTGGAAGTGCAGAACCCTAACCTCTGGACCACCAGGGAATGCCAAGCCTTATTCCTTGTTAGAATTTGTGAAGAGTAACACCAAATTAGGGCAGGGAGCATGGTTGGAAGGGTGACCACAAGTGCACAGATCAGCAAGACCCTGGTTCATCATCCCCTTTCCCCACCCTCAGTGTACTGATACCATATCTATGAAGACAGACAGTGGTTCTGTCCATGCAGGCAGTGAACTTTTCCTTGGCTGATTCTCCATCCTCTACACCACTCAATTCTATACAAAGCATCCATCTCACCCAGACTCAGGTCTTTCTCTCCTTAATAATTTGGGAAAGGTATGTTCAACTCTTGATCTAAATGGAATCCAATCTGGACATGCTTGTGTTCTTGAGAATTGTGCACATGTGGTAGAGGGAGCTTGGCCCAAGGATGTTCCCCTGTTCTGACTGAGCAACTCTTTAGGTTATGTTCTTTTGCTCTGATTTCTTATTTCCTATAACTCTGCTCCCTCTTCTCCCAAATCAGTTAAAATCTATTCAATTCCCCAATTTTTCTAAATCTCAAGGAAGCAGTCTTATTAAAACTACTCAAATTTCTAAATGAATCTTCATCCAGTCAGAAATTATGGCTTGGTCCACAGCCAGATGATATCCACCCAATGGTCCAATATTATCATGGCAGAATAAAAAACACAGAGTATGTCATATGGACAAATAGTATTACTTCATGTTATTAATGTGTAACATATATGATATATTTGTTAGACGTATGTAACTATGTAAATACATGAATTGAAGATCCAAAAATATAAGGGTCACTGGCTTAAGGAATGCCAGCATTTCATGAGGCCTTCCCATTTTAAAAAATTATGAACAAAGGATTTGGTATTATTTCTATGACTCTCATAATTTCTGATTGAGATATGATAGGATTGATTGAGAAAAAGCATCAGAAGCAGAGGAAGCTTGCCTTCTGATGTTGTTATTGTTATTGCACAGTGGGTGAAAAGTCAACTAGAAGATTTACAAGAGTGTTCTTCCTCATACCCACAACTCCCTCTAGACGTGTACAGACGATCATCCATCCAGGAATGTCTGTCTGCTCAAGGGCAGTCTTGTTTCCTCCAAAATATCTTTTATGAGAAAAAATATGGTTTTGAGCCATACGAGGAGGCACTGGGAAGCAGAAGAAAGAACTGGAGAAGCAGGAAGGAGTGTTCGATCCTCAAATAGTGGTTGAGGCACACTACGCTGGTGGAGTAATACTTATTTAAGTATTCTGACTTAGCATGATGGAGAAAGATGTAGTCTGACAGATATACTATTGGCAGATTATTAGGTTATTTTGAAGTGAAAGGCTATTTACTTTTTTGTCAAATAGATTTTTTGAAATTCAAATGTCTTCTATGAAAAATATGGTATCTTTAACAAAAACCCCTTTAAATAGAGCCTCATAAACCATACAGAAATCCCCTGATATCTTGTTAAAATGCAGATTCTCATCATTAGTCATAAACCAGGCCTGCTATTTTGCATTAACAAGCTACCAATGATGCCAATGTTTGTGCTCGTTTTTGGACAAACTTTGAGCAGCAAATTAATTGCATATAAAAAAAGTTCTGTTACTCCAGAGTTTTTTAAAACCAAGAAAATCTCATCTCTTTGTCAAATGATTTCTGTACCCTTAATGTATTGTCCTCATTCTTTCCTGTTTGTTACTTAAAAACATAAGTATATATGGGGCCATTCCTTAGCTGGCAAAGTCCTAGTTGGGGAAAGTGACCACTCTAGGCTGTCTTCTGATAACTTCCTATTACCACCCTCAATTCTTTTTTTTTTCTCTCGTGAGCTTTCTATTTTGTATTGGGGTATAGCTGATTAACAATGTTGTGATAGTTTCAGGTAAATAACAAAGGGACTCAGCCATACACACACATGTATCCATTCTCCCTCAAGCCCTCTGCCATCCGGGCTGCCACAGAACACTGAGCAAAGCCAGGGAGGCTGGAGACTATGTCAGCACGATTTCTCCCATGGTTTATGAGATTGGAAATAAAAGGAAAAGTCATTAAGGTAATCTGGCTCATACCTTTGTCTTCCCAACAGGTCTAGGATCCTTGATCTATACTGAGCTTAATTATTGTGCTTGCTCAGGAAAGGTGCATGACCCAGGTGCATGGATACAGTTTTCACTGACATGCAGAATCATCCCATGTTTCTCTCACTTGGGATTCGGAGGAACAGGAGGCAGAGAAGCTGAGCTGGGGCCTCCACGGTCCATTCTGTGTCCTGACAGAGGCAGACCTTCCCAGAGCTCTAACCTGCATAGATATGGGCTCTGGGCATCAGGGCGGGCTAGGAGGAACATGCAAAACAGCTGGGGTGGGGGAGCTGGGATTCCAGCTGTAGAAACCGTGTGCCTCCTCTTCTCTACACTTGAGTAGTCCACTCCCAGGTGGTCAAGTCAGAAAAGGCTGTTGACTTTGTCTGAGGGATGAATTTGTCTCCTCTGGTCAGAGGATTTTCTTCCAGTGTCCTCCAACTTCATTATTCACCTAGATTCAGAGAGATAGTGTTTGCTATAAGCCTGTTGGAAATAAATTCCATGCCTGTGGTTCTATTTTCCTCTTTCCAGCAGCAGTGTGCCTAGTTATCTCCCTTGGGGAATGATTGAATCAAAATGGATTGAAGAGTTTATCTTCCAGATATCCCTTTCCTTTGATGCTTAATGATACTCCCCAAGGGCACTTCTGAAGAAGTCACATTTTTCTCTTTTCAAATTAGAAAGGAGTAACACTGAATTGCAAGGAGAAATATCAATAACCTCAGATTCACAGATGACACCACCCTTATAGCAGAAAGTGAAGATCTAAAGAACCTCTTGATGAAAGTGAAAGAGGAGAGTGAAAAAGTTGGCTTAAAACTCAACATTCAGAAGACTAAGATCATGGCATCTGGTTCCACCATTTCATGGCAAACAGATGGGGAAACAATGGAAACAGTGATAGACTTTATTTTCTTGGGCTTCAAAATCACTGCAGATGGTGACTGCAGCCATGAAATTAAATGACTCTCGCTCCTTGGAAGAAAAGCTATGACCAACCTAGACAGCATATTAAAAAGCAGAGACATTACTTTGCCAACAAAGGTCCATCTAGTCAAAGCTATGGTTTTTCCATTAGTCAAGTATAGATGTGAGAGTTGGACTATAAAGAAAGCTGAGCGTTGAAGAATTGATGCTTTTGAACTGTGGTGTTGGAGAAGACTCTTGAGAGTGCCTTGGACTGCAAGGAGATCAAACCAATCAATCTTAAAGAAAATCAGTCCTGCATGGAAGCAACCTAGATGCCCATCAGCAGACGAATGGATAAGGAAGCTGTGGTACATATACACCATGGAATATTACTCAGCCATTAAAAAAAATTCATTTGAATCAGTTCTAATGAGATGGATGAAACTGGAGCCCATTAAACAGAGTAAAGTAAGCCAGAAAGATAAAGACCATTACAGTATACTAACACATATATATGGAATTTAGAAAGATGGTAACGATAACCGTATATGCAAAACATAAAAGGAGACACAGATGTACAGAACAGACTTTTGGAATCTGTGGGAGAAGGCGAGGGTGGGATGTTTTGAGAGAACAGCATGGAAACATGTATATTATCTATGGTCAAACAGATCACCAGCCCAGGTTGGATGCATGAGACAAGTGCTCGGGCCTGGTGCACTGGGAAGACCCAGAGGGATCGGGTGGAGAGGGAGGTGGGAGGGGGGATCGGGATGGGGAATACATGTAAATCCATGGCTGATTCATGTCAGTGTATGGCAAAAACCACTACAATATTGTAAAGTAATTAGCCTGCAACTAATAAAAATAAACGAAAAAAAAAATCAGTCCTGAATATTCATTGGTAGGACTGATGCTGAAACTCCAATACTTGGGTCAACTGATGGGAAGAACTGACGCACTGGAAAAGACCCTGATGCTGGGGAAGATAGAAGGCAGGAGAAGGGGATGACAGAGAATGAGATGGTTGAATGGCATCACTGACTTGATGAACATGAGTTTGAGCAAGCTCTGGGAGTTGGTGATGGACAGGGAGGCCTGGTGTGTTGCAGTCCATGGAGTCACAAAGAGTCAGACATGTCTGATTGACTGAACTGAACACTGAATTAGGCCAGGCACCATGGTTGGAGAGTGACCACAGGTGCACAGATGAGTAGGACCCTGGCTCATCATCCCCTTTCGCTACCTTCAGTGTACTGATACCATATCCATGAGGACAGACAGTGGTTCTGTCCATGCAGGCAGTGAACTTTTCCTTGGCTGATTCTCTATTCTCTACACCACTCCATTCTGCACAAAGTTTCTGTCTCACCCAGACTCAGGTCATTCTCTCCTTAACACTTTGTGAAAACTATGTTCATAC